AATGACTGGAATGTTAACTACTGAAAGTCAAAGGTCAATTGCTGGACGTCAAAGGTCTAAGGCCAGACTTCAACGAATTTTTTAAGATATCTTCGTATTTCGAAGTTTTTGAAATGTTCCCAAGTTTGTTGAAATATTCGAAGTATTTCTAAGTATTTAGTGAATTTTGAGGATTTCGAAGTTTTTTAATGTATTCTTTCTTTACTTTGTGAAAGATATGTAATAGATTTTGTTATGGGCAAAATGTACAGTTTCTTATGCATCTTCTAATTATCTTCTAATTTAAAATAATTAAGTAAAAAAAATATATTCTTCTGGGAAAGGTTTTACTACGGGTTTCATTTATACGGACTTTTTCTGGAAGAAAATTTTGTCCTTGTTCTTGTTCTCGCGTCTAGGTGCATTCTGGGCGGGAATTTTTTAACCATTCCAAGAGCTATGGCCATTTGTTGAGAACTTTAAACTGAAAACAAAATATAGTGAAGTAAAACAATAAGTAAAAAGTTCAATATGGTTACTACTGATGTTTCATACTCTCCAACAACTTTAAATCGAGATATACCCAGATATTTATATAATTTAGACAGTCATATTATTTACTTACCTCAATATTTATTTATAACATATTTAGGTAATTAAAACACTGTTCTATAATATTACACCACAAATGAATCTAAACATGCTTACTGAACAATTAGCACAGTTCTCTACATATACGCGGTAACATCACACTAGGTGACCAAATCAGATCATGTAAATTCACACTCTTATTCGTATATTTACATCAAATATAGTAAAAAATATATAAAAGATTAGGAATAATACATTTTAAAATGTAAAAGTACCTACAATGTAAAAGGAATACATCGCAAAAAGAAAATATACACTCAAACGTGGAATTCTACGCAATGTAGCATGCATGTTCAATTCATTTACGTATTTTGTGTATAAAAACCATTACAAATATGTAAAAAACATATGTGAATTTTCACAATTTTTATCAGTGTACTTTAGTACATTTATTGAAGTAGAACGAATCCACTTTTTTATCAAACTGAGAGAATTTTCCAAGTTTCCGTCGTCTGGCGAAGAATAATTCATCCAGTTCCGAGCGCAGCCAACTACGATTATTTGCAGAAACTGCATCGGGAAAGATAGAAACTTAGTTACTATGATCTACTTAGTCTTTATCAAGTGGCCGCAGAAAGAACCGGAGAAGTTTAAGCGATAATTGGACGAGTAATTACTGAACTGGCACAAGTGCCCCGGAAGTTAAATACTTAACGAATCCTTTTTATAGTCGCTCGAATAATTATACGCCCGCTATTCGCAACGGCAGTGGTCGATGGAAGCTTTGTCGATCCACTGAAGGTTTACGCTGAAAAAGACGAGGCAAATTCACGTAATGTTTACAGAAAATGCAGTGAAAACTTTACGTTGTAAATGTATTTTTTGGGTAAAATGTTTAGGAAATGTAGAAAATCCAGAAGTTTAAATTTTTAGCACAGTCATAAGTTATGTATATGCTTATAATGTACTTTTATAGAATAATTTTCCTTATTTTTTCTTTCAATTTCAGTAAAGGCGAATGATTGGTTGGATTTTTGTGAAGCAGTAAATATTCTCCACGAATATTTACTTTTCTAAAATGTCTACTTATGAGGGCTTTGGCTTATAAATGCGGCTTGTTACATAAAACGTAATCAGCAAGGTTAGGCAATATGTTCTGCCTCTAAGTACGTGTACATTAAAATGCATAGCGCACGGCTTTTACTGAATTTATGAAAGTTGTGCCTAGAATTAATTAGCTGCCACTTTTAAAAATATGGCGAATGCGCTGGTACACACCACTTTTATTACCTTACATTTTTTATTACACAGATTACATTTTTTATTTCATGTACCTACTTTTGATAGAGTTTGTAGTGTATATAATAAATATCATCAGTTACTTGTTTATGGAGCTGTACATAAGCATTGGATTGATTGGCTACTACTCGTACCAACAACTAACTAAAAGAGAACCCTTGAGTAGAACCAATAAGTTAGCCACTTCGTTAACCCAACTTAAATCCATTGGATTATTCTGTCTGCAATAGTTAAGGTATTTTTTCGCGTCAAAATAATCATTTATCAAACTTAAATTCAATTTGATAATGTTAAAAACTTTGTCAAATATATGAGATAATAAATGAAATGCAGTTATGCTCAAACAATTAATTTTACCTCACTCAGGATAGAACACTAACAGCAAAAAATACCTTTATTATACGTGGATAAATTATGTACGTAAAATAATTGTTTTTCATTTAATAACGAAGGCTCCTATAGCGAAGGTTAAAACATTTTTAAAAATAAAATAAAAAATTTGGAGTACCATGAAATTTAAAAAAAATTCAAATGTGACCAAGAAAATTACTAAATGTCAAAGATTCGGAAAACTTTGGAACAGATATTGACTGAAGGCCTTAAGTATATCTCGAAAACTAAGCAACATTACATATATGTATACCTACTCAAATTGAGTTGAAATGATGTCTTTTCATCTATTTCTATATGTTCATACTTATGGCTATTTAAACAAGTTAAATCACTGTAAAAATAGCTCGTAAATAGTATATATTCCCAAAAATGGTAAGAGACGTTTGGTAGGTCTAAGCTCATTTTATTTATTTTTTTTTTTTTTCGGAAAAATATTGATGACCAAATTTCGTTCAAATTCGTAAATAGAATAGAGTTCTGAGATGTAACCCAAAAATAATCAGTTTTTCAAAACTTTAACATCCTATATACAGAGTGATTCACAAATGATGACCAAAAATGAAACCTCGTATTCTTTGATGAATTTTAAGGGAAGTTTTTCCTAAAAAGTTTTTATCTAGGACACTTCGTTAAAAAGATACAGGTGTTAATCTTCAAAAATTTTATTTTTTTTTAAATAATTTAAAAACTAGTATGTGAAATAATTTGAAATTGGGCACATGTATTTATGTAAACGTTGTCCAAAATCTGAGTGCTTTTCCTAAAATTTACATGCTCCAGTGGCGGAGATACCTACAGGGCATCAGTGGTATATTTTTCTAAATAAAATAGTACGCCACTGCTTTACGGCAACAACCATGATATTTTCGTCTTCGTCTTTCGATTTTCTACAAATTACTACTCTCTTATGTTTTTCGAAAAAAAACTGATTTTCGAGTAAAACTTAAAAAACGAATTGAGAGCATACCTAGATACTCGAATATAATGCTTTTTAAAATTGCATAGTGGGCTGCGATAGCAACTTTGACATTCTGAGCAGTTAGAATAAAGAATAAATAATGCTTTTCATCAGATTCAAGCGACAATAAATCGAACAAATTACATTTTCCTTACTAAAAAGATGTCGGGCCTGTGTTCATGGAAATGGAGGTATTTTTGAGCATTTACTCAAATAAAATCAAAGAGAGTAGTAATTTATAGAAAATTGGAAAACTAATCCGAAAGTATCATGGTTGTTGCCGTAAAGCAGTGGCGTACTGTTTTATTTAGAAAAATATGCCCTGCAGTTACATCCGCCACTGGAGCATGTAAATTTTAGAAAAAGCCCTCAGGTGTTGGACAATGTTTACATAAATACATGTGCCCAATTTCAAATTAGTTCAAATAGTTTAAATTATTAAAAAAATTAAAAACATTTTTTGAAGTTTAACACCCTGTATCTTTTTAACAAAGCGTCCTAGATAAAAACTTTATAGCAAAGACCACCTTAAAATTCACCAAAGAATACAAGGTTTCATTTTTGGTCACCATTTGTGAATCACCCTTTATATACAAAAGTATATACAGGGTCGGAAAGTACCGATGGTCCATCTGCCGTTACGTGAGAGCGATAAAGTAAGTCATAGAAATCCGTGCGATAGAGAAAGACGGCTATAATGAAGGCGTCTAATAGTCTCCGCCCATTTCGCCCTTCCACAAATAAGAAGTGGATCGATCACGCAGTGGCACGTTTTTAATTTTTTTTGCGACATTCCACCAAACTATAAAACAGAGGAAAACTTAAGACTATCGACGTTTTCAACAGATTCCTTTTATCATAAATTGCCTTAACCTCAAGCCTGAAACCCCCAAAGCTTCATAAATCATAACGCTATGGGTGATTTACCTTGAAACTAATTCATTAGGTGAAATAAAGCTAGCAAAATTAATGACACAGTGGAAACAAATACTCTGCGGACTAAAGCCCCATTCAGCATTGATTTACAACTGCAATGTATTAAATATTAAATATTTGATATAGGGGGTGGACTTAGTTGCTAGATGAAACTTCAGCTCGCGGAGTAGTTGTTTCTCAACAGTATCATTAGTTACATCACTGTGTTCTACTTAAAGACTAGCTATACCCAAGTAATTTTTTAATTTAAAATGTAAAATAAAAAATAAAGCTGGAAAATAAGAAGAAAATAAATTCCAATCATTTTATAATGATGGCCAACTATGATAATTTTTATAATGCAAAATTAGAGAAATATTAGATTCATTTAATAAAAAATTCAAAAAAATTCTTACTCAGAGTGGCCTGAAGCACAAAGGAACAAATTTTTGTAATGTTTATGATGTCTACTTGAGACAGATTCTTCCGTAACTCTGGTAAGATAGATACAAAAAAGTACCTCATATAAAAGTTGCATGAAATCAATTCATGTTTTAAAACAAAACTTTCTTGCACCCGATTTACTATTAACAATGGCGCTAGAGAACTAGAGAATAATTATTAAGTTGTGTAACTTGTTTATGCCAGTGCACTTCTACTTTTTTTTACTTACAGTTAACGAAAGATTCAAATTCTTCGCCTAAGATAAGTGTCCTCAAAGCAGAATTATTTAATTGTATAATTCTACTACAGGTGTTTCGATTATCATAATGGTACACACAAAAATAAAATTTTTGATATTTTACCACATGTACGGATGACAAAAACTTCATATCAATGACTAAATAAACAATATTTTTTTTAGTACTCCGTCATATGACCACGCTCCAAATCCAGATAAACAATGGATTCTGAAGGTAACCAAAAATATGGAGCCTATCCATCGACAATTCACAGACCTGCTGATGACAAAACGCCTTCAAACTCTGCAATCAGTAGATGCTGCAGTTCTAAGGGTCATCCAGGAGCTAGAAGAACTTGGAGAACTAGACAACACATATGTAGTCTATACTTCTGATCACGGATACCACTTAGGGCAATTTGGGCTGATAAAGGTATTACGTGAGAGTGAGCATGATTCATTCATTGACTATAATAAAATGAAAATAAATTGCCACATACACAAAACTAGTTAATATTTGCAACTAAATACTGCTTATCATAAATTCTTTAAAAATACTCAATTAAAAAATTCTATGTGAACGGACTCATATTGAATTTTATGCATGTGAGCCAGTATTTAAAAGTATTGTAAAATCAAAATTTTTTTAGCAGGATTTTGTAATGTTTGAATGATTTACTGTTGTTTCAGGGGAAAAGTTTTCCATTTGAATTTGACGTGCGTGTCCCTTTCTTAGTACGAGGTCCTGGCGTAGAGCCTGGCACTGTAGTCAACGACATAGTCCTCAACATCGACCTGGCTCCCACTTTTCTGGATATGGCTGGTGTAGAGCCTCCAACGCATATGGACGGGCGCTCCGTACTACCTTTATTTGTAAACCCCAAGAGAAAGAAACTAAAGTGGCCTGACACGTTTCTGATCGAAAGGTAAATATCTAATTTTTTGGGTAGCAATTAGTAATTTTGTATACTTTTAGTTCTGGTCGTCGAGAAACACCTCATCTTGATGCAAAAGTAGCTCGTCTCAACAAATACTCAGCAGCTGCCAATGCGATAAATTTAACAACAGAAAACCCCTCGACCATAGGAGGTAATTATTACCAATCCAGCTACCAACCTACTAGTCTCTTAACTGCAAGTATAACGACAGCTTCCCCCTTACCCAGAATCTACGATTCAGGTGAGGACCTATCTTTAGATATTGTAGATAGCGATATCGAAGATGATTTAGAAGAAGATGAGGAAGTTGAAGATGATGGTGACGAATTAGATGATGATATAGATTTAGAAGAAAAAACAAATATTGATAATGTCAGATTAGCTGCTACTAATACTGACTTAGTAAATGGTGAAGGTACTAACAACAAAATCCAACTCTATATCACATTATTAACAAGCAATTTTTGCTTTTCTTTTAGGTGAGATGCAGTTAGACAATAGATTACTACCGGTCTTACCTCTACCATCAAAATTAGAAAGATTAGCAATAGAATGCATGCAAGATGAAATGAGGTTACCATGTAAACCCAGACAGAAATGGTACTGTGAAAATGACGCTGGCAGGTGGAGAAAGCACAAATGTAAATCGGTAGTCCAAAATATACCTTTGCCGTCTGACAGAGCTTACAGAAAATGTGCTTGCTTTACCCCTGATGGACTAGTATACAAGAAACTACCAGTAAGAAAAGTTACTTGTTCATTTGTGCCTTATTCATTATGAAAATAATTTTTTGTTTCAGTTACAAAATATTACAAGGAGAGAAGCTAGACTAGGAAGAATTAAGAGAGACACGCATTTGGACGAAATACTCTTTAAGAAATTGAGAGATAAGGAAATACACAAGTTATCAAAGAGAGAAAGACGTGACACCCTAACGCATGTTGAAAATGCCATGGAAGATGTTCAACATCAACTACACGGCCTCAGGGTAAGCTTAAAATATAAATTGTATACACTGTACTAAAGGATATATTTTTAGGAGCAAAATAATTCTATGACTGAAGAGGGTAACTTAAAAACAAACCTAGAAACCAATACTATATCAGATACCTTGGGATGTACTATTATAAAAAAAGGACAAGTAAACTGCTCCACAGTTATATTTCAAGATAAGAAAACATGGCGTCTGTCACGGCACATGATTGAAAACGAAATTCAAAAACTTAAACAAGAACTAGAAACCTTAAAGGAAATTAGGAGACATCTAAAACATACCAGACCCCCAGAAGAAGATCCTATAAATGGGACTGTTTTGTCCGAATTTAATGAGCTGAACTTTCAACATAATGTTTTACCTGTTAATTTAGTTGGCAGTGGAAATATGCCAAGACCTATGCCAATAGAGCCAAGCTCAAGAATACACAAGAAAAAGAGGAAAAAGTTGCAGGATTCTGAAGAAACGCAAAGGCCAGAAAAAAAAACGGACTTTGAAGAAGTGACAATAAATTTTACCCAAGATGAAATTACGTCTCAATTTCCAGAAAATCCAGTTGTGATTGATATAACTACAGCTTCACCGCCAGACCATACCAATCACCACAGGCACCATGGACATCACAGGCAGCATACTACAACCGAAAGTCACTTAAGTCTTAGCACTTCAGTATCCAGTACCTCTCCTACTAAACAAAGGAAAATTACAGAAACACCAAAGGTATTTACAACTTCTCGAAATTATATAACAATTTCCTTTATTTCCCCATTAATTTTCAGTCAAGGGACGATGCCAAAATACCACTTCCTTCAAGGAGAAAAGTCAAACCTAACTTCTGTCACTGTGAAATAAAAGATGCACATGTATCGGATGAACGAGAAGCAGCAAGAGAAGAAAAACGCAGGCTTAAAGAGGAACGCTTGAAGAAGAAGCTGAGGAAACAGAGAAAAAAGGACCAGTTAGAAAAAGAATGCAGTCATGAAAGAATGAACTGTTTTCACCACGACAATGATCATTGGAAAACAGCTCCGCAATGGACTGGTGGACCATTCTGCTTCTGCATGAATGCAAACAATAACACTTATTCCTGTGTTCGCACGATTAATTCAACACATAATTTTCTCTACTGCGAATTTACCACAGGATTCGTGACGTTCTACAATCTGAGAATAGGTAGGAATGAACTAGACTGTACTTACATGTCATTTTTTATCACTTGTTTATTAAGAATTTTCTGACATCACATAAAAATGAGCTTATAAAAAAAACACTCTTCCGAAGAATATATGAAGTTACTGTTGGATAATATAGGGAGTTGCAATATATATTTCACTCACAAAATTGTATAGGGTAAGCCAATTTCAACACTTTTGATGGGTTTATCTGATTTCCTGAAAGGATAGAAAAAAGTTGTGGCAAAAAGCGCACCTTGATATTTTGATTTGTTGATTCGTCAAGTTTGGCCATTTTCTATGATGCCCTACCCTTTTCTAATTACGGAAATATTCTATCAATGTGTTTTATTATCTTTTGAGTTGCTCCCTTTTAAGTTTAACGATGAAACAGAGAAGTTGGGAGGTGGATTAAATCAATCAATCAACTAAAAAAGAATCAGAAAGTCTAGACGGTCGGCTAATTCGTACATTCCATCAATTCTAAAAAAAATATAGAATACAGGCAGTCCTCGTACTTACGGCATGTTCTGTTCTCAAAATATATGATGTAAATCGAAACGTGTCGATACATTTTTTTTATCCATTTCTGTATAAATTCTATCAGAACATATAATGTAAAAAAACTACATATTAATATTAAATACAAATAAAAACAAAATATGTATTTGGTACATACTTATTGTACAATTGAAAAAATAGAAAGAACCATAATAAAAACTAAACCATTGGTTTAAAAAATGTATCAATTCCAGTTAGATTCGCTTCGTTTTTCATGTTTTCATACATTTCTCGATAACACTGACAGGAAGTAATAATTTTGTTATTAACATTAAAACTTCTTTCAAAATTTGGATCATGTTAAAAAATATTGTGAAGTAGTCCATGACATATCTCGAAACCATCGACGTTAGATTGAGGATGGGTGTTAAAATATTGTTCGACCCAACTCGAAACGACTTAAATCAAAACGTAACTCGAGGACTGCCTTTCTACTGAATTTGCATTCTCCTCTAAAATTTTGTCACTGAAATATTACATCCTATAATATGTTACTGAGATGTAAAAGTTATTTTAATTATATACAAAGAAGTTAATTATTCTTTCATGATTTCAAGATCCATTCGAGTTGCAAAATAGAGTAGACACGTTGAAACCTGAAGAACGTTCTCATCTGCACGATTTGCTTAAGCACCTCGTAGCATGTAAAGGACGATCCTGTACCGTAGGCCACCACAATTCTCAACATCCCGCAAGGACAAGAGGAAATGTATTACCCATCCATACTGTAACTCAGCAGAGATATAAAAAGAAAAAATTCCTGGACGACGGTAAGAATTTGAATTTCTGTTTAATTTACCATTGCCAATAACACTCTCTTTCCAGTAAGTAAAAGAGTGCATTGCGTTTGTTTAGTTTGCTAGAATAAATATTACGCAATTTTTATACTGTTTTACTAACTGGAAATTTTGGAAACTGGTTCATTTTTATTTATATACGTCAAATGCACAGAAGAAATACTTACCTCTTGATATATGAATGATTTAATTTTGCCTGTCAAAAAATGGTCTATACAATTAAAGAATATGATTAAATTTATTAGCAGCCAGGACCATGCCGTTAGTTCAGGAATATCCGTATCGAATTGACTATTCAGCGGCAAATAATAAGTAAGTAATCACCTAAAAGCTGCCCGAAAAATGTGTTAACGCATGGCCATCATCATTTGTTGCACTTTTTATATGAAGTGTGGAACGACACAAATTTAATCTTAATTATCTTTCTGTAATAATGCAGTGCTCCTGATCTCTTTGTTGTTATTACTACATAATACTTATGCAGGAAAACTTACAAAAAGTACCTCTATTTATTCTTTTCTTTATAACTTATATCTACCCTCATGGCACGATAAACCTCTTCTTGTATGTACTGCTCTATAATTAGAAAAGAAATTCCTTAAATTATTCTTTAAATATGTTTAACTTATATACAGAATATAGTACTTGTCAAGAATGAAGGAGTGTTTGTTCTCATCCAAATTTAAAAATGTTTTCTTATACATATAAACATTTGCACCACTTTTACTTCATTGTAATCGCTAGAAGTCGGGAGACTCGGTTAAATAAAAAATAATTTTAAAATGGTTTCACAAAAAATATTCAAAATAATATCTTAGTGCTTCAATACACTCATTGATAAGTTGTATCATTTTAAGAGTGGGTGAAACGTTAAGTACAAAGTGTGTTATATTTTAATTGTCATTGATATCTCACATACTTTGTAGAGTACATCTCACTCACACTTTATACACGGCATTTAAATAGCTAGAAAATTCATTGGTTATCCACCTATTGGACACTAATGAGTACTAGGAAGTGTGAAACCCGTCTACTCTTGATAATTCTAATGATGTACGATCTTAGATTTTACTAGATATTGCAAGTGTAACTCAATGCTAGATGAAGCTTTAGTCCCTAGAACAGTTGTTTTCTAAATCATTTTATTCATGTACTGTGCTCGCAAATTTTCATTAATTTGGTCAAGATATTTTTAGTTTTTTTTTTTTGAAAATTTTAAAATTCTGTATCCCAAAAACAAGAGCTTCAAGGGAAATGTTTGTATAAGAATATTCTCCTAAATTTGAGCAAGGAACAAGCTCCTTTATGTTTGGCACGTTAACAATAATGTGCTATACCCTGTATTATTTAAGGGATTTTCTTTTGTGTTGGTTGAAGTGAGTTATTTATTGTTACTTGTTGTAGACCTTGGCGCAGAAGGAAGACCTGGAGGTCAGCAACATTTGGCCAGGGACGACACGAGAGGAAGAGACAGAAACAGCAGTATGATTACGAGGGGAGCTTTAAGAAGAGTTGGTATTAGAAGGAGGCGAAAAACATGAAGAATCCTTAATCATGAATGACTGACTAATACTGGATAATTTTCAACACATTTTAAGTAAAATTGTGATCTCTAATTTATAATTTTTTTGTATTAATTTAATATGTTAGAAGCTTTATTGCTTTCTATGTAAGGATAAATGTAAGAAACAATCATAGACAATGTAGGTACCTGCAAAACTTCCATGAGATTATCGTATAACAATACTTCCGCTATTTTTATAGATCTTGTTAGTTGGAACAAAGTGGGGTTATTTACACTTTAAAATTATATCATCATCTATCATTTTATAGTACCAGCAATAAGCAATAGTGAAGGAGGCAATAATTCACTTTTTATAAATGCTGTGTTAGCTGTAATTGTAAATATTATTTATATAAAAAAATGCACAGTCTTTTATCATTTCTAGTCTACGTGATTTGCCTTGTATGTACATATTTTTGACCATTAAAATCGATATATTTTGTTGTTTGACAAACCAAACTTTTAAAAATGTATTTTTAATTTATGTCTTAGATTATTGAAAAAAACGTTCTATTGTAACAATGTTTGAGTCAAAGGAAATTGTGGACAAGATGTGATTTTTAGTTTTTATTAGATGTGTACAAATACACTTTTATTAGCTTAAGCATTATTTTGTTTTGCTTGTAAAACTTTTCACTTAAAATAAACATTTTCATTTTACAGTGTTTTCTTTTAATCATATTTCTAATAAAGAATCAATATCTTGGTTACTGGAAGAAGCAAAAATATTTTCATATTGAACACTACATACATCTTTACTCTTTTGATCATTAAGATCAGATTTTAACTTTTTATAGTTTGAATTATTCATTTCCAACTCCTCTCTTTCTTCCCTAGACTTTTCTCTTTTTGAAATATGTTGATCTATGCCCTTCAACATTTCATTTTCATTTGCATTAGGATAATTGTTTTTAAAATTTAACACATTTAACACATTCTCAAAAATTAACTCATTTGACTTTGACTTATATGTACTATGGGAATTTTCTGCCCCATTATATAAAGTTTCTTCATTAGTGTCATTATTTTGCAAAAACTCTAACCATTTACTATTTTCTTTGTGATCTGTTTTTAACTGTTCTCTCTGCATTTCACTCTCTAAAGGGCATTCGTGTGACAACTGTTCACACATTTCAGTTTCTAATCTTACTCTTTTTTCATTCAACTCTTGAACATGCAACCTACATTCTTTTGCACTTCCCTTACTATAAACCTAAAAAATGAACCCATATAATATAACGAGCGTTCAAATAAAAACGTGGTCGAAGTTGGCTCTGACACATTGGACGTAGGGAGTAGCTTATAGCGACCAACTTAACCTCATTTCTCAACGAGCTGTATAGCAGCTGTCAGTTTCAATAACGTTAATGACTATATAACTTTATTTTAAAGAATAATCGTGATAACAATAACAAACAATTAAAGGAGCTGCGGAAAGTGTCCCTCTCCTTGTTATAACAATAAATTAAAGCAGCTGCTGAAAGTGTCCCCCTCCTTGTTCCAAGCACTTTTCACACCTGTTCCTCAAAGAATTAAAGACATTTTCTAATATGCTCGGGGTATTGTTAATTTCACGAATCTTGTCTATAAGTCGAGCCTGCAGATGGTTTAAATCAGGAATAGGCAGTTCAAATATAGTGTTTTTAAGGTAGGGCCACAAAAAGAAATCACACGGCGTAATATCACATGACCTCGGTGGAAATTCATGTTCAGCATTGAGACTTATTAGTCGATTTTGGAAAACTTCCCTCAACATATTCATCGTCTCGCATGCCGTATGTGCCCTTGCGCCATCTTGTTGAAAGTAAAAGTTTGTAATTTCGTTTTCTTCCAGCTGGTTAACAAAAGGAGCGATAATTTCTTCTCTATACCTTTGCGCAGTAAGAGTACCATTAAAAAAATAGGTCCATAAATCCTCCTTCGATTGAGAGCACACCAAACTCCAATTTTTTGAGCGTGTAGAGGGCCCTCGACAAAAAAGTTATCTGGTTTTTCAGAAGACCACATTCTCATATTCTGTGAGTTTACGTAACCACTTAAATGAAACCAGGCTTCATAAAAAAAAAGGTGATATTATGAAGTTCACCGTAGTTGTTTAAAAACCATTCACAAAATACAGCCCGTCGCGGAAAATCAACTTCATGAAGTTCTTGCTGACAAGTTAAACGATAGGAGAACAAACGCAAATCTTTTTTTAACACTGTGTGGCAGGTACCGACTGATACTCCCACCATTTGTGATAAAACACGTACAGAAGTTCTTGGCGCATTTTCCATTATTTGTTGGACATTTTCTTTTAATTCTTCAGTCCGCTTTTTAGGTCGGCCGCTTCCTTCTTTTCTTGTTACACTGTCCGTTTCACGAAAAACATTAACACAACGCTGAACTGCACTTTGAAAAATTTTGTACTCAACAACGCCGGGAAATTGATTTTGAAATTCTATGAAACATTCCTCAATAGAATACTTCTATATTCCATCAATCTTGCGTCCATTTCTAAAGTAGGACTGTATGATAAACACTTTTTGTTTTTGAGAAAACACCATTTTAAACGCTTTTAAAACGAAAATATTCAAATTGATAGCGGCGATATAACGCTTTGACAGATGACGTTTAAGTTCATTTGCTATACGCTACGCCCTACGTCCAAATTTTCAGAACCAACTTGACCACGTTTTTATTTGAACGCTCGTTATATCTCAACTTTCTTTTCAATAACACAATGATATAAAACAAAAGATGTATGCAACTAGCAAACTGGAATATAGTCTGCAATTATTTATTATTTGTCATATTTTCACACTGAAAATAAAAATTGTATCCCTTGCCCCAAAAAGGACTAATCAAATGGTTGAGATAAATTTAGTTATTTATTTAAAACTTATTTTTGCAATGCTGCAGAAAAACCAATTAAATAAAAAAAAAGTAACAAAAACATATTCTTTTTTTATCATTTAAGAGTAGTGGTTAAATATAGTTCCCTAAATAGCTAAGATAAATTTCAATATTTTGTACCTTTTTAACAGATTGTTTCTCACCACACATCTTGCATGACCATTTTGGCACCTTCTTAACAATATCCACCTGAAAATATATTGATGAAATACCTATATATAAAGAATATTAATGAAATAATACAAGCAATCTCAAAGTTGTCCCAAATTTCATCAATAATTATAACATAAAGTACAGGCCAGTCGAAATTAAACGAAAATAACAATCAATAGAAAGTTCTTACCTGAAATACATTGCAGCTGTAACACAGTATAACATGAAATTCTTGTGGCATTATTTTTATTAACTATTTTAATGTATTCAAAGAAAAATACAATTTTTGTTTTGTAAAATTTTCATTCATAACCTAATTCAAGCGACCTTCTTCTTCTTCTTCTTCGGTTACATTACACAGATTATAGTTGGGTGTGGTTAGATTTCAATCTCCTTAGAGCATATTTTACAAGGAGTAAACACGCTTACGGCAACAATGTAGACGAGCGTCAGAGAGAGAAAGCGATAACTGAAATGGGCTAGACAAGGACTACGAACTCATACGAGAAAATTGACAAAATTTGTAGTAATTACCTAGTTTTTACGGCTATAGTCGCCAGTGATCCTTGTACACCGACATATTTTCATTATTTATTAATTTATTTATCTAATTCAATGTAGCCTACCTTAATATAAATATTAAAATTTTTAAAGCCACAAAAACGACACGATTGATTTTTAATTCAAATTGCCACATTCATTATCTCCCTTCCACTATTTTGGTGCATATGGGACACTAGCGCCCTCTAATTTGGTAAGATATTTGTTTACATGGAGTTCGTGCTCCTTAAGTAGTCTCCATGACCCATACTATCGCCTTTCTCCCTACAGCATTCAACTTTTTTTTAACAAGCGGTGCTTCCTCCATCTATTATGTTATAATGGAACAACACACCTCTACAGAGTTAGTTAGCATTTTTCACCCTCCTTTTTGACCGCGGAAATTGAAGGAGCAGAAAATTCTGCATCCGAATGACATTGTCCGTAACCTCAGGGTCAATGATCAAGGTCAAATGTTGATTTTTATTGTATTATGTTTTGTGATTTTTACTGAAATTTTTAATTTTTCACTAGAGAATCAGAGGGAGTGAGTCTTTGAGTAGATACTTGAAGGTACTCCTTAGTGACCTTAATCTTGAGGTCACTAAACCTTGACCTTAAGGTCACGTTTAAGATCATATGTAGAATTCTACACTCTTATTTCTAGCGTCAAAATAAGGGATTGCTACTTCAAAAACCGATATGACCTTGACTTAAATATCAAGGTCACAAAGGAGTACCTTCAGGTATTTACTCAAAGACTGTCGCTCCCTCTGATTCCGTAGTTAAAAATAAAAATGTATAGTAAAAATCAACATTTGAGTTTGAACTGACCTTGAGATTGAGTTCAGTCAATGTCATATACGGAATTTTCTGATCTTTCCATTTCCTGGTTGACTTGATCTTGACCTTGGCCCTCAAGGTCAAAGTTACCATCGGATGCGCCGTGAAAAATAAAAATCCTTTTGTCCTTACCATTTACCATACAATTCATTGCTTAAACTTTTTTAATCGAATAAAAATAAATGTAATAAATAATGAAAAATGCGTAATTAGTCAAATCTGAGGGCGATCACAATGCCCCTGAATCGTGATGGCTTATCTGTTAGCGTAACTTAAAATTAATGGTATTATATAGGAGCAGAGAAATTATTAAAAAGGTGATCATTTATTTTTTCTCATGTATCTAATAGTAGCATTTTACAATATTCTTATTTCCCCTTTATTTAAAATCACATTGACTGTTGCAGGATATACATTATTACATATTAACATTTTTTTACTTTCAATTATAGCAAATTGGTTTAAAACATTCTTAAAATGTATGTACTACTAATAGCGTAAATGATAAATGCAATGCCTGTCATAATGACAGTTTTAGGCAGCAACTGATTCCTCACTCCGTCAACTCAACTGAAAATCAATATAAAAATTTGGTAGACTGATGCAAATTCATTTAGGTTAATCACATGTTACAATGAGAATTGTAGTAAGGTCCCTAGATGTGCAAATGGATCAAATACTATCTGATACTGCATTTATTTATGTTCTTTTTCTGTGCTTTTACATTTTAAATTCTAAACAAAAAAATACTGCACATAGAAAACATTTTAGTACAAGTATAAAAAATAAAATAAGGTTATTCACTGCGTCCAATGTTGTTTCAAATGAGCTCGTAAAGCACTACTTTGAATGTACGATCTTCCACAAAAATTACACTTGAAAGGTTGTTCACCAGTGTGAATCCTTTCATGAACTTTCAGTGTCGATTTTTCTCCAAAAGCTTTTCCACAATGGTTACATGAAAATGGTTTATTACCTACATGTCGACGTATATGAGAATTTAAGTTCCCCTTTGCTATAAACCCTTTATTACAAATATGACAAACATAAGGTCGTTCGCCAGTATGAACTCTCATGTGTACTTTTAATTCCGCAGCTGAGCCGCACTGCTTGCCACATTGTAAACAAAGGGCATTCGATGGTTTGCCAAGATCCAAATGTTTCTTTTTCATGTGGTTGTTGAGATGAAACTTTGTTGAGCACACTTTAGAACATACACTGCATAAAAAATTATTGTATGTGTCATGCATGGCTCCATAATGGCGTTGCATAGCCTCTTTAGTGAAGAATCTTTTATCACAAGCAGAACATACAAATGGTCTCACTCCAGAATGTTTACGTTTGTGAGTTTCTAAACTACTTGCACTTAAAAGATGTTTATTACAGATATCACACTCAAATTTCTTTTCTCTAATAGTGTGAACCTGTAAATAAATATTTTACTATAAATTAAATTTTTCTCAAAAACATGTCGATTTCAGTTTCATGGTACAGAGCCTTCATAAATGATTACAAGCCACAAGATCGTCGAGCTTAGGACCAACACTGCACGACTGGTACTGTCAGCTAAAATCCCAAAATTTTATCATCAATATTAATGATCCGTTTACAATGAACAATGACAAACTGTTGCGTCTATATTAGAGACAATACAATTGCTGATTGATTTAATAAAATCTCGTGAAAAATTACACCAATCACCAGCCGGTGAAACAGAACGTTGTTTTTAATGTAATCTTGATCTTACTCTTTTAATAATTTTTAATTTTAGCGAAATTTAATTGCCAGAGTGAAAAAAATAAAATTATTGTTCCAAACAAAGTTAATGGTCATCATGTGGCTTGTAATCATTATGAAGGTTCTGTAGATTAATCTAGTTTAATCCACTTTCGAGCATGACAAATTTGGTGAATTTCTTTTATATTAGTTTTTGAGAAAGATTCTAAATAAAAATAAATCAAACTTTATTATTAGAAACTCACAATTTGATGTTGCCTTAAAATAGCTTTGGTTGTAAATGCTTTTTCACATATGTTACATTTAAATGGTTTTTCTCCAGTATGTGATCTCACGTGATCAACTAAATTTGTCTTGGCATAAAATTTCTGACCACACAATGTACATCTATAGCGTCGATCATTGTAGTGTCTTCTCAGATGATCTGATAATACCCCAGATGTTTTAAAAGACTTACTGCATTTACCACAGGTATGTGGTCTCGATGTGTCATGTGATGTTACATAACGATTATAATTAGTTGGAGTACATTCTTTATCACAAATTTCGCATTTTAGATTCCTAAATGTAGCTTCTCCACTTTTATCTTTGCTGAAAGAATTAAAACTATTTTTATCACATGCCAAATGTTCGTTTTCAGGAAGAATATATGATATAGAGCCAGGTGAAGCTTTATTAGTCATTTTAAGATCAGTTTGATTTGAGGGCACTTTGGTTATTAATGATACCATAGCTTTCTTTTCCAGTAGAATATTACCAATTTCAAATGCCCTTATAATTTGTCGCCTAAATATGTACCATCTATTAACATCATTGGCACACCGATCACATACGAGGCTAAAAAGCCCATTTTCTGGAGTTACCTTGAAAAAAGTTTCAGTTTTTTTATATATTAAAATGTATTTAATTATAACAATACTACTTAACTAGTATAGATTTTGTAATACATTAAAAACTTTTAACCACATTTTTACCTTTATAGAAGCACACTCGAAAAGCAGGTCAACTAAACCTATTTCACAAATCAAGTCCATTTTATCTTTTTTTGTTAAACATATTCGACACACTTTTTCAATTTCAATATTTTCATATTCTTTCATTCTGTGGTAAACTTTATTATCACTTTTCTTATCAGTATTTTATTTTTGTGATATTTTAATAAATTAAATTCCAGACAACACATAATACACAAACAATATAGAATTGTAGTATCTTATATTACCGACGGACAACGGACCACCTTTCGACATCTCTTGTCGACATACAGAAGTAAATCGGGCGGTAAATTTAAATTGTTTAGAAGTCATTTTTACAGAAATCATATTTTGTATTATTTTCTACAAACTGCAAATTTATTACGAAATGGTAAATCATAAATACACAGCTGTAAAAACAATAAATAAAAAATTAAATAAGTTGATATAATATTACCTTTTAATATTTACAAACAACAATCCACAAATTACATAATATTTAATGGACAATAAAAATACAGAAATTGTTATGATATTTGGTAATTATTTACTACAGCCTAAAATTCCCAAAACGTCAGAAACTTTTTTCTCTCCACCATTTTCGAGCGTGCTGAACACAAATTGGAAGATGTTTTTGTGCAGTCGAACATAGTTTTCGAGAAAAAAAATATTCAAGTCTAATCTGTACACTTTACCAACACTCATCACTATTTACAACACTGCATTGGTGGTACGCAAAATGTTATGCATTTTTTATAGTTTTACACTACATAAAATAATTACCCTTTCTTATATGATTCGCTAATTATCTAATCATTCTCCTCTTTAATTTTTTCTATCTTTTTAGCTGTTAACTTTATAAAGTACAAATTAAAAAGATATATACGTAAATTTGAGGAATGTATTAGTTGGTCAAATGTTAAATTACTTTTGTCATTATTGGAGGTAAATAGTAAGATCATCTCAGTTGAAGTTCTTTTTCTATCGACTGATAATAAATATTCCATAAATGTTCATGTTTGTAAAATAAACATATGAGTTGACTAGAATCTTGTATTTACCGACTTGTTATTTGTTACAATTATTGTAATCAGATCAAACTTTATAAACTTAACCTACTACATTTGACTAAAGATTTTATATAACATTTTTTTTCAATGTCCTTACCATAATCACAGATTAAAATTCCAAGGTATACAAACTATACCGTCTGATAATACAGAATAGTAAGTAGTTATATTTATGCGAAGACCTTTTGTAAACTCTTCAAGCTCAAACTTGTTATCTAACAGTTTTTTACAACATTTTATCATTAAGTCGGGAGTTACATTGTCCTCTTTCTTTAATGCTGCTAGTTGAAATTCTGTTAAACATTTCTTAATCAAATTGCGTTCTAAATACTTGTCGCTGAAAAAATTTACCAAATAAATCTGTATCGTAGCAGTGGACACAGTATTACATACCTTTGATACTCCTTGTTTTTTCTACCTGCTTCTTCTAAATTAGCCGTTATAAAATTTACCAATAAGTCACCCGGTAGTGTTGCAGGAACAATAAATTGTCCAGTAGGCGATACCATTAAAGGGCCTGCTTCACTATAAAGAAATGTAATAATTGACCACAACTACTTTGAATGTTATATAAATTACGTTTCTATGACTATTTCATGATCTGCTAACGATTCTGGCCATTCCTTAGGAAATGGTTTTCTTCCCCGAAAATCACTTAATGAAGTAGTTACCTGTCTCAAATTCTCTTCATATGTGCCTGCTATAACCTTAGGCATAAATTTCCTAAAAAGACAAATAAACAAAATATTTATTGAAGTATGTCGTCACTTACACACCTTCTCCCAATTTTAATATTTCTCAACACATGAGACAAAGACTTCTCAAAAGCAGGAATCCTAGTAAGAGCAATATCATACTTCCTTAATTTTTTTAAAAACTAAAAAAAAAAATTATAATCAACTAAAAACACTATCGTTTATCCTCTGCTCTAAATTCAATTATAATTTTAAAATTTACAATAAAACAAATAAATAATGTGAGATTTATACAATTTATACTTAATTTTGTATCATGCTCAGCAAAATTTTATTTTGCTATTTCAGAGGGAAATAGTAAATACAATTAGTGAAGGAAACTCAAAAAATAATTACATCTAACCAATTATGTCGAACTTCTCCACTATATAGCATAATATGGCCATCAAGACTAACTCCAGTGAAAAAGGAAAAAACCAATATCCTATCTGAAATTAACGAACAACTTTATGAAGCAAAAATTTATGGAACTCATTGTCTACCTCGAATTATATTCCTTATTTCTGGATGTTGTTCAACTAACGACTTAAAACTTAGTAAACATCCTCTAAAATGTGTATCATTCCATCCACATTCCCAACGGATTTCCCTTAAACCTAAACATTCCGTAATTGACACACGCAGTCGCTGAATCTCTTCCCTATAGGCTTCTCCTTGTTTAGATTTTTCTATAGCATGTTTAAAATTTTTTCTCAACCAGTTCCTTAACATTAAAGCATCTTGGGCTTCTTTTATTTTTCTTTGCATGACAATATGAGCATAAATAGGATGATTCTTATTTACTTTGGTAAAATCAATATCATTTTTATATCTGACTTTGTACTGATCTAATTCAGGTGTTGCTGCAGTAGGGGGCTTAATAATACTATCTACATAGTCTGTTGATAATCCACAACTTTTAAGAATTGTTACAACTGCTGCACGAATATCACGTTCACTTATATGAATGTTGATTAACCGAAAGGAAACTAGAAAAATAATCAAAGTTGACCTTATCACAAATTCATAATTGTTTTACCTTGAGATTGTGTCTTGTCTTTAATATAAAAATCCAGCTTCATAGGTCTTATTGGACGTGATGCTTGCAGATTTGCCAAAACTGAACTTAATTGTTGTAAAGAGGACTCATTTTTTGCCTGAAAATGAAACATAATAATATGGAACTTACAATCTAACTGATTTACCCTTTCAAGTGGGTATTTTCCAAATAAATCTGGATGAACGGAGAAATAGAAAGGCCTTAATGCAGTAGAAACTTCGGTTGCTGTTAAATTTCGGACACATGTTAATATATTCTGATTTGGATTACATCTAAAATTTAGAAAATCGAATTATAATGAATAACAATACGAACATTGACAATACACTTACAAATTTTTTACTTTTCCTAGCATTATTATAATTATTTTAAACCAAAAATTGACAGCAATATCATCATTAAGGTTATGAATGATGACAAGGAATGACGTAATGGTGTCGTTGTCGATGACGGAAAATTCACATACTTCTATATAGAAGTATGTGGGAAAATTATGACAAAACCATAGAAACACAAATAATTCAGAGATGTATTTGTTCAAAAATATGTCTCCACAGATCTTCGAGCATACCACACCTTAATATGAGCTGTGTATATACTAGAGATGTGTTGCTCTTTCAATGTCTGCTACTTTGGCACTGTTCCGCAGCTGTCACTGGAGCTGACTGTTCTGCTGCGACAAAAGAAGCTGCGATTTTTCGGAGCGTTTACTGCAAAGTGCAATTTACTAGCGCCAGAGACATAGCTCAGGTGTTCCGGCCACAGCACACAGCAGAGCAGATTCTCGCTCAGCCGTTGCGATCTGCGCTTGAATTAGTCACAGTATCACACACTAAACATATAATACAGTCGCGTTTGATTTAAAGACATTGTATTTCAGCGACTAGAGCAATGCGTGTATTGCTGGTTGCTGCTCTACAAATATTTTAAAAGTTTTTGTTTACAAAATCACTTAGACTAAGCAAAAAACATGCGACTGTTCAGATGTTCTTCATTTGTTTTTGTTGCAGTCGCGGAAAAATTTTGAATATCTGGCACTGTACTCACTGTAGGATGTCGTCGTTCTATGTGTCTTTTTAAATTGGTGACTGAAGATTTATAACAAATATTTTGCTTGCATATATTACAACAAGCTTTACTTTCATGCGTTGGTAAAAATAAATTCCACAGGAAAGATTTTCTTCGTTTATCCATATCCAATTTTATTTGTAATAAAAATGTATTAGTAGTAACTTAGGACAAAATAACAGACCACTACGCTATATCAAATTCAAATAAATAATGCAAAAGCGAAATAACAAATTGAGCTAAATCTACGAAAGTTGGCACATGCTTGAAAAACAGCGCATAACGAAAGTATCCCTATTCCCTAACGCTAGCCGCTATTAAGCACGACAGGTGTCGATTTATGAACTCTGACGCG